TTATTTCATATGGAGGACAAAAATTCAAGTCTTCAATTATACTCACATTTAGTTGATAGATACATGCTTTCTTTAAAGTAAGGAAACAATTCAAAATAAATTATAAATTATCCTTTATATAAAGGACGAATTCTATTATGAGTAACTGAAATATAATTATTAATACTTAATAATTGTATCAGTAATTCAATAAGTAAGTGACTGTATAAATTATTTGTAATGACGAGATTGAATTGCTGGCTGATAGTATTTAAACAGTAAAATAACGATAAGATACATCCTTAATTTTACCACAGTTAAACCTTATACAAATAACCTGTGCTAATCACTATGTCGCAGACAGTTAACTAATACCTGTTAATCACTGTTATGTGTTACCAATTATGCAATAAGGTACTAATTTTACAGGTGTCACGCAAAATCAATTGTTTTCACATGTTTGACCTACATCGTGCAAAATCAGGCACAAGACACGCAAGTGCCACTTTATTACTTATTTAATATACACAGTATACTACGACTTCAATTGTACTTTAACCGATATAATATGGGGACTTTTCATATTATTAGCTATTAAAGACAATACAGCGATATTTTAAAATATTGCAAAAGTAAAATGCATTTATATATATAATTCTATTTAAAATAAAATTCTTCATAAAAATTTTTTAGCAAAGTACATATGTAAAACATGTTTTCACGAAACGCTTATGTGTCGTTAGTCTGAAACAAATACATTAAAAACTTGGAATAATTACAATAAATACGGACAACATAATAAAACTTATTTTCCATACTGTTTTCATGGAAAATATTAGAGCTTCCTATAAATGTTTTTGAAATCTTAACGGTAGTCTCAATCAAATGCAAGAAAGCAGTAATTTAATATTTAATTAAAACTGTTTGGATATCATAAGATATCCATCATATTTTCAAGCTTTCTTTGAAATCGATACTTTTTCCTTCTTTTTCTTAACCACTCTTATCATATTCAGAGGTGATAATTTATCCTTGTTTATTGTTGATTGAGAAATACGAACGATCTCATTGCTTTACTATATAGTGAATAATATGGATATTCAGGAGTGTCTCGAAGGCTCTTGACATGGTATCACAAACCATCCATTATTCCCTGAAACTGCAGGACCTACCATTTGCGCATTCAAGGCATTATTCATTCTTTGATTTTTCATTATTTCTAATTGCCGTTTTAAATTTCGATACAACTTGATCAAAGATTCCTACAATTTAGAAAACCTGTTAATATCTCCCATCTTCAATTCATGTCAATAAATTAATCATGGTATATTCAAGTACGCATTATAATAACTCACCTTCTCATCTTCGAGTTTTCTAAGTTCTTCCTGCTGCCTTAGACTGTCCAAAGTTAAATTTTTAAGCATTTCGTTTTTGTGTTGTCCCAAGAGAGCTATTTCTGTTTGAACTTTTAAATACTCTTGTGCAAGCTGCTTATGTTCCTCAAAAATTTCTTTTGATCTCTCACAAGTTTGATCTGGTGTGAGTGGTCTCAAGTCAGCATCCAATAAACGATAAACATTGTCCAAATCTTCATTAGTTGTGCTGTTACCTAATAATCAATAATAATTTTTAAACACACATATTAAAATGTACGAATATTCAAAAATTGTTTAGAACATGAAATTATAATTGTAATTTTTAACTATGTATCAAATAAATCTATGACAATAATATTGACACATGTTTTAGTATAACATACAATTTTCAGTAAAATTCTAATTTCTTTATCATATTCTAATCGGTTTCAAAGAGATGGGATAGGTAACTTAAGAATTAATCAATCATTCTTCATTCTTTTTAGCTGTTACAAGAAAATTACAGAACAATTTTATTTCAATCAAATACTGAATTAATTGCTCATATATATAAAAGAATAATCTATAAAAGATTTGGTAAAAGGTGAAAAGAAGGTGAAAACTTCACTTTATCCGTGTTTCCTTATTTATTCTACTCCAAACCACCCCATTTGTGCTGACAATAAGAAAAAACGCAGGCAAAAGTACTAACGCAGTAAAACCCAGCACCGTTTTAGCGTGTCCGTGGTGACGATGTTCGGATATTCCTCACACATTTCCAAATATTGAAGCCTATCAAGGCTTCGTTCATAATAAAATCAGGCAAGGTTCTCACATGAAGGATGTCACAGCGATCAACATTCACGAACAACGCGGGATTGAACCAAGAAGATGACCGGTCAAGCAATGATAAAAAGGCGGGATATGGAAGATGATTTTTTTTATAAAAATTGTAATTTTCGTTAATATAGATGATAGGGAAAAAAGGAGAAAGAGAAGGAAAGACCGTCGTTCTTGATGGTGTGTCGGGAGAGCACTAAACAAACGTGCATCTATATTGGGCCTGGTGAGTCAGCCACACCTGCTTCGAGGTATCCCCCACCAGACAAGATGTGCAATCATGAGCCAAGAAGAAAATACGGTTCTTCGGTTCTTAATTCATCTTCAGGGTTGGATTAGGTCAAAATTTCGATTTTCCTGGGGAACAGTTAGAGGAGAACTCGTTGATGACTAAACGTGCCTCAAGTACAACATACATTCGGTTATCATATTTTAGGAAAAGTAATTGAAGATACTGTATGGGAAAATAATGTCACTGTTAAGAATGACTGTTTTATCCAAAAATATCCTTCGCTTCACCATTCATTGTACTGGGTAGAACCATTAATAAAGTTTCTTGTACTTTACTTTATCCCTTTCTATAACTTCTTTGTAAAACTTAAAATAATGATCTAATGTTTCTCTTTTGTAAAACATATTAATAAAGTCTGTAGTCTTCTCCTTTATCTTATGAAAACAATAGTAATAGATCTGTTATTTCGATGGCATAATTTGTTTCTATTCACTATTCTTTTTTATACTTTGAACTTTATGGAGTGTGACCTTTATAACTATCAATAGGTGTCAATCAGGAACAAGTTCTGGCAATTAGTTGGCAGTTAAATTTAGTGAAGTCGCACAATGTGGCTGTTTTCGCGGGCCCTTTGCCAGGGTAGATGTCACCGATCGACGAACTCCTAAGGAATTCCTCACGGGAAAAGCGTAACATGCTAGGTGACACGTTTAAATTTTTTACAAATAATATTGTTATATACATACTTTCAGCAGAGAAATAAAAGTGAACATTTATAAGATATAAATTACTTTGATAATAACGACATAGAATTATATTAATTTATGTATAGTCGCATTGGCAATAAACTATCAAACAATTAAATTAATAATTAAATAGCTTAGACACTTCCAGCAAATTAAAAATTAATTCGCTTATTAAACTTTTTTTAAACTATTATTAAACTATACATATATTAGTATTTGGTAGTATTTATTATAAGTACCATATGAAAAATCTATATACTAAAAATTGTCTAAAGAGTTTTATAACAGTTTTCAAATAATAGTAAAATATAGGAAGATTTATATTTGATGTATTAAACTATTCTCACATGAAATATTTTTTAAGTTATAATTTACATAAAAATAACTATAATCATTAATTTTAGATATTCGAAAATGTTCTTAAATGACGACAATAGGTCTGGGCTTACACATTCCCCACTGAAAGCAAAGTTTTGTGGATCATACGGAGAATGTTATTTTGGGATTAGAGTACTATCGCGGTGAGTCACAAATTCGGAGCTCTCGCTTCAGACGAGTTCTCCTCCCTTGGTAACTATGTTATATCGCTGTAGCAACCACGAACTGATTAATAAATAACATTTAGACTGTACTGTGTTAAATTCACATAATATATAATTTTTTTTCGAAACCATCGATATTTTTTAACATGAAATCAAACACCTTTTTCCATTACATCTTTTAACAAGTGTCAAAATTCTTTAAAGTATATCTGGGTTATGACCTTGAAGGTACCTTGCACAACGAAACAATAAATTAATTTTGAGATAGCATTTCAAGATGATGTAAACACTTACTGGTAATGTTAAAAAATGTTCAAATTATAAGCATTAATCATTTGCTAATATAAACAATAAGGAACTGCAACAAATTAGAAAATAATACTGGGAAACAAATATAGATAGTATACAAACAAATTTACTCACTCTGAACAGTGGTTTTCGTCCTCAGGACCGGCGAGTCTATTTGTGGATCAGGACATGGTAATTCCCAAGTATTCTGTAATTACAAATACGAAAATGTTTAAATATAAATTTGTGAGTATGTACTAAATTAATTTTCATAAATAGTCTTCTAAATAATTTTAGGGTTGATAAGCTTTTGAATGTTATTTAATTATTGAAGTGCTAATTTATTAACTAATAATAATAAGTAATTAATCAATTAAATATATTAGATGCTAACCTGATCACATTCAATATGAAGTGGTGGAAAATGTTTGTTTTGAAGCTTTTTACTGCATGCGTTGTCTAATGAATTATTTTTACAACTATTACGGAAGGGATTTGATAAATTATCTTTCCCATTTGGAAGTTTCGATGTTTCTTTAGGAGCATTTGCTCTAATTGTACCATTAGGAGTGTATCCATTTATTTGAGAATCCAGGGTACCAGATACATCTAAGGTATCGTCTTTAGGGACATGATTATCATTAACTTCTTCTGATTCAATACCTAAGGAGTAATAAATACTTATATTAAGATATACACATACAGGATATTCGATAAAAAATTATTCAATAGCATTTAAATAGTTTTGAAATGTGCGACTGGTGAAAACAACAAAAAAACAGAATGTACCGATTGAAACGTCGTATTACAAAAATGGATACTAATTTACAGAGAAATGTAATGATCTTGGAAACAAAAACCTATTAAATGACCTTCACATAATTCCTTCTGTCATCGCCATTCTTTGATTTACTTGTAATACTAACAAAGAGAATTTAGATATTCAATTTAAAATGAACATCATACCTACAGTATTGAGGGGTAAATTCTGTATATTATATATATAGTAAAATTATTTTTATTGCTATGTTTTAATCAAACTTGCTTCTTAATTATTCTTAAAGATTTCATCAAACTTAAAATATACATACTGGCAGAATATTCGACAGGTTCTAAATGACCACTGAAAAATTGTGATAATGTTGTCATTATTTCTACTACAACATCCATTGATGGTCTTTCTTCAGGAGACTTATGCCAACACCTAAA